CGAATGAAAATATACACACAATATAATCAAACCAAAACATACATACACAACAAATTTATACATAACAATGTTCAAATAATGTACCCACAACGAAATTAATCCGAAGAAAAGGGTTATTTCTAACGAAGTCCGGAATATTAGACGCTTTCAACAAATTTTCCAAATACTCTCGTATGTTACTGCTTTATTCTGAGGACATATATAAATAATTTCAATTATCAAACTAATGAGGTGCAATTTTACTAACAATAAACTAAATTCGCATAAGCAGGAATAAATTTGTGTCATACCTAGAGCATTGTCGTTCGAATTAGAAGCAGCGTCAAAGGGATGTGGACATATATAATTGTATTTCAATATAAACACATAAATTGTTAATCAATCAATGTATGAACACCTGTTTAACTGGAAAAACATATTGCATAAATGTAACTTACAGGATTATAAATCATTTTTTTCGCTGAATCATCGACCAACAGTGTATTTAGGTCATTAAAATGAGGAAACGCGTTCCAAACATCATTGAGATCTTTACAATAGGTAACATTATCGTATGTTTTACAGTTTGTTTGATCCTGTTCACAAACATTCGAATATAAATATGTAAGAATCATAGACAAATAAAAGTCAGCAAACTGTAATGTCATTCATCTTACCCAAATGAATAGAAAATGCTCAGACAACAAAGGTAGTTTCTTAAGTACACGGTCGATGTTATGTCTGAGATTGTAATCAAGTTTGAATGTTAACATTTAAATGTATATTAACGATTTTGGTTACAGTAATTCAATTACTCAATAATTCTAACCTCATATTGGAAAACCAAATGCCAACAACAAAATTGTCTACACAAAAATGTATAAATTCATATAATCTTATTCTGAGGACAACATTTACAACATGAAGAAAATGAGATTAAAGTTCTACGCTTATATGTTAAAATAATGGATACAAAAGAACATAATTAAAACCTTTTGACTGTCTTGGGAAGTAGGCAAGGACACCATCTGTTAAAACATAATTACAAGTTTTCTTGAAGGCGGCGTTGCAGACACGATATACTTGTTTGGATCACCATCATCATCTTCATCTTTATTGACCGCTTGGTTGTCCACATCTGTTAAAAGAAAATAAAATACATTTCAGAACGTGTAAATGTTTAGAAACATAAATAATTAATTACCTAACTCGTTTGATATCGTTGACGTAATTCGTCACGCAACATGGAGACTTCATCGCGCAATGATGAAATATCACCTCGCATTCCACTAACAAGGGAGTCAATATGCTCCCGAAAATTGACCATGTATTCCATCACCATCTTAATTGTGACATCCTCTCCAACTGGAGCTTCTGGAGCTTCTTCCATCATTGCGTCTCCAATTGATTGGTCGTATTCATGGCCAATGAGGTTCATTTCCTCCCTCTCTTGATCTAATCTGACATCTTTGACACGCTTTCAACCGACTTTTTCAAAAAAATCATATTTTTCTTTTTTAATAAATAACATGTCAATCTTGTGGGTTAATCGAACAGGGGCGTCATACGAAAAATCAACTTCTTTCTTATTCAACAGATGGGTGATGACACATCCATATGGTAGTGAAGTTGAAATTGTTGCTCAATTTGTGACCATATATACAATTGTATTAAATATCAGTTTAGCAATGTTTGGAGCCGCTTTGGATTTATACTTTGTTATCCACCAATAATCGTTGTCTCGAATCATTGAATGGTTTCCCCTAATAGGCCAGATATACCAAGTGAGCATTTTGTGAAACACTCTCGACTCTACATCTAGGTGAATTGGGCTATTTCTAGCAACCCGTTGTATTGTAGTATCTAAATCATTTTCATATGCATCCCCTTTATTCTCGACACTTAGACCATCCATAATAGTATCTGGATATATATATATATATATATATATCATTTCCCATGACATGGGTATTAATTCCTTTTATATTAGTTTTATTAGGCTCGTGTTGTAAGGAAGCATTGTTGTAGAAGACTCTAACTAGGTTGGGATAATATTTTGGTTCTACACCAAGGAATTCAAGCCAACCCCAAGATGTAAATGTGGATTTAAAACTAAATGCATATTTATCATCGAACAAGAAACCCAGGTCAATGACACGTTCGGGACGAATCTTCCTTACTTTAAAACTCCTCTGCCATCTTTCTTTCTATGTATCAGATCTAAAGTTCAGAGATTCGAACGACCTGATTTCCTCAGAAGAAGCGATTATTTGAGAATGAGGTTGTGGTTGAGAAAAGCTGGGTTGAAAAGAGCTCTGAGAAAGACTGCACTTCTGACGTTGACGTTTTGGAATCATTTTGGGTGTGGATGTTATTACATTTGAACAAAAACACATCCAGGAAAAAAACTCCAATCTGGAAATCAATCAAACCCATAAAATATCGATAAATTTACCTAAATATCTGACCGTCACTGTTATGAGAATGTTGGTATTCGTCGGTACATTATGTAGACCTATTACATTACAAATATGGGTTTCGATGTTTTTGGGATCGATATTTCTTTATAAATGTATCGACACTTTATGCGTGCACCCTTTTGGGCATTAGTTATGGACAAAAAGTATCGACACAAATTCCAAAATTGTCGATACACTATATAGACCTATTCTCTCATAAAATCGGTATATTTATACCGGTTACATTGTAAATTTACCTATTACATTATAATTATGAGTTTCGATGTTTTTGAGATCGATACTTTTTATAAATGTATCGACACTTTATGCGTGCACCCTTTTGGGCATTCATTCTGGACAAAAAGTATCGACACAAATTCCAAAAGTGTCGATACATTATGTAGACCTATTCTCTCATAAAACCGGTATAGTTATACCGGTTACATTGTAAATTTACCTATTACAATATAATTATGGGTTTCGATGTTTTTGGGATAAATACTTTTTATAAATGTATCAACACATCTACTTACCTATTCTCTCATTAAACCGATATATTTTACCTATTACTTTATAATAATTGGCTTCGATGTTTTTAGGATCGATACTTATAATAAATGCATCGACACACGTTTTTGGAACTTTACGTTTGGGAACCATACTGGACAAAATGTTGGAAAGAAATCTGTGTTTAATAATATTGTCATTAAAAAAGTCTATTTTTATCACCTACATTGTAAATTTACCTTTTACTTTAAAGTTATTGAATTTTGTAGTTATTGTACATACTTTCAATATGGAATGGTCATTCAGTCCCGCACATGATGTCAATTATGATGACATTTGGAATAATGCAGACAACGATCTCCATATATCATAAGTATCAATATGACTCCTACTGTGTATAAGAAACATGTACAACAACCTACTGCTAAATTTTCTCATCTCATACATAATTACATTCACATACAAAATTATAAATCGTATACAAAATTATAAATCTTATACAAAATTAACCCCACATTTACATCATCGCTTCCTTTTATAATTCTTGTGTCTCATAGCAGCTTTTGTTATCTCCTCTCTTAGTTCATTTTGATTGTGGCTTACGAGATCGTTTAATATTCGCGGTCGATCCCAATGTCCAACAACCTATATTCAAATTATCAATACGTTAAGTATTATAAACCACAATATTCAATATACGACTTTTAATAATTTAACTGCAAACTAATTTTTAATTCTACTTATAAAATCACCAGTTGCCCCTGTAGAATCGATCAATTCCATCCGCATCATCACATAAATGTCGCAATCATATTTGTTACAAAATTTGAATACTACACATGTTAATTATGATATCTGCATAAATTAAACTTTCTATTTATAATAACATTTCATACCCATTCAATTGCTCATTCATCTTATGCTCCACAAATTTGAAATTTTCAAGGGAAACTTTCCTAGAGATCCACATGCTTCTACCCAATTGCGTTTCTTATTATAACTATCTAATATTTTCATTTGCATTAAAAAATATGAAGTTATGATTCAAAAAAATTATGCATTATAATTTACATAATTTCCTTTTATATATACCAATCTCTTAGTATCATTCACTCTCTGTTTAGCTGCTTCAGATGTAAACAGACTATCATATACCCGTTGCAACACGATATGCCATATCCAACATCAACAGATACCAATGTGAACTTTGGTAGTTTATTGTGATCATGATCTGTAACAAATTTCACACCCAATTTGATAAAATTCAACATTATATATCCGAAAACATCATTTCCAATTCGTATGGTGTCTTACTTTCTCACAATCGGTGAATTTGGCATAGTTATCCAATATGGGACCCCAAAAGCTAGCAATACTCTCAACACTTACTTTGCTGTTGGCATCCAATTCCTGTTACTGCAATTACGTGACAATCATTATTAATTTACCGTTTATAACACTACTTTTCAACATTTATTAATTTAACTCACTGCTAAGTGGTATGGAATGTAGTCAATCCTCCGGAGTGACTTTTTCGCATCGTAGCATACTGTCTAGGTGAGCAAATCAATAACCTAACAAAATTAATTACACAATTCAGAACATATTCAATAGGTTTTAACATTTTGTACTTTCTACTTACCACACCGCCAACTCATTCCGTAGGCTTCAACGTTGCAACGTCGGATACACTAGCGAATTGATTTCCCATTGAGATTACATAATATCTGTATGAATCATTAGGATTAATATCTTGTCATGAAATATTTAAATATCACTCACAAAGCAATATATTTCACTTACTCCGATTCTAACCCACTATTCCATAAATAATCACACATTACAACTTCGAGCTGATCAATTCCGCTCAGAATATCCGCTTTTTCAACCTACAATTTTGTATACAAATTTTTGTCACAACAACATGATAAAGATCAAATTAAGTTTTCTTTTATTCAACTTACCTTCTGCTTCTTCTTCTGTGGTGCAGGACATTCCGAATCCAAATCTGCATCTATAACACTCTTCGGTATATAGATCACATCGACATTATCCCTCCTCATTTCCTTCATCTTTTCTTCTTCCTCCATCTTTTCTTCTTCATATTTTTTCAGTTCATCGTATTTTTACTCTACATAGCTCTTCATCTCTTTTTATTTCACCCTTCAAGTTTTCTCATTCTTCCAAGTTTTTTCTCAACCACCCTCTTTACCCCCGTAAGTTCACTTCTCAATTCCACAACCTCCTTCACCACTCCATCAATTTTTTTCACCCGTCACCATCTTAAGTTCACCCCTTAACACCTCAACTTTTTTCACCACTTCACCCCTCAACACCTCAACTTCTTTCACCACTCCATCTATTTTTCCTTCCACTTCCCCCTTATGCCTCTCAAGTGTCTCTTCGACTCTTGATTGTCTTTGCATGATATCAAAAATGAATTTTTTGATATCAGCCAATTCAGACATCAAAATTTTAAATTTACTCTGTTTTCTCTCACCGTCATCCCTCAATACAATCATCTCTTTTTCCTTTTCATCTATCTCCACTCCCTCCTCTACCTCCTTACCAATAACCTTCAAAATTAAATTACAATATTAAGACATTGATTATATTCTTAATATTATTTAATTATATTTATTACTCTTTCTTGCTTCCTTAGTCTATCCAACTTTAACTTCGCCATCACTCTAACCACCTCTTCCTTCCTCCATGCACGGATGTGTGCCACTCCGGTTCTTTCATAAGCCGGCACTGCCTCACATCCTGACCAAAAATCGAACAGTGCAACCTGCATTTATAATAAAATTTATCATTTTATATAAAAAAACAAAAACATTCTTCAACTCGTTTACCTCTAAGATTGCTATGCACCCTTTGAGGTATCCCTGGCTGCCCTTTTTAGGTGATTATTGATTTAATCAATCTTGAATGGACATATTCAGCCCAATTGAATTCACCATTCAAGCCTTCATCGTAAATGAGCTTCATATAGTCCTTGTTCGTTGACGTATCACCCGTTGGACAAAGAAAGATCCCGACAAGGTACAATAGAACTCGGGCCTTCAACCCATCCCCCCGTAAGATCCACTTTTGATTTTCTCTTCAAGTTCAGCATATGTCACCTTCTGCTTCAAACCATATTTGGAGGCAAGTGCTTTCCAGTTCTTACTCTTAGAGACTTCTACAACACTTTTGCCTTCATTTCCTACCCCCAAGACGGTTACAGCTCATGAGATCCCAGAGGAAATGAATAATAACCATATTTAGCAATACATTGTTGGACATCAAATTGCTCCATCAAGGATCACACAATTCCCTCCAAATAAGTCGATCTCTTACTCCTACCAACGAATTGATCATTCTCCTTAAGATGTTTAATTAATGAATTCACCCTTTTAATGATGCACCTTGTCGACACTTCCTATTTTTTTTTAACAATATATAATGTTATTGTTCTTATATATTTTGTATCAACGTATTTACAAGTTTAATGAATACATTATTTTCATGTGCTTTCCTCCATTCTTTGTATTCTTCACTATCTATCTTTGATTGTGCGATGTAAGGTTCTTTATCAGCATCACTCATCGAATTCCATTTCTCCAACACATCATTTCTCACCTAATATTAAGCATAAACGTTTCTTAATCAATACATTAACGCTAAATAATACTCAATGTCAATTTTAATTTACATACCGAATCGATGTGTTTGCCACATTCCTTCATCATTTGGCATTCGATCATACTGTCAATATTTAAAATTTGTAATCAATTTAAAGTTCTTAAATACTTTAATCCAATTACCATTTCAACAATAATAAAAAAAGACATTGATACTTACTAGAAGTACATATATCCACCCTTTGGTTGCTTTCAAATCTCGACCTCAATTTCAACATCATCTTCACCACCAACAATTCCAAGATCCTTTGACTTCATTTTTCCTTCATATATCAGTTTACGCAAATCAAATCAAATACTAGTTACATACACTTTATTCAATATACAAATATCGATAACTACTCTTGTAGTAAAACGGTTTCTTTTAAAAGAATTTGAATGTCCACTACAACAAGTGTCGACACATTTATACAACCTACAATATCATTTCTACCTATAATATTATAAACAAACATCCATATTTATTTTCTACCTATAATATTATATAATCGGTCCCAGATCCTTCTTGGCTCCGATTCGAAATCCCCAAACCAAACCTAAAAACCCTAATCTATATTTCCTTCAAACGAATGGGAACACTTAATACTACAAGTATCGACATATTTATACAACCTATAATATCATTTTCTACCTAGAATATTGAATAAAAGTATCGATATTTAGATTTTATCTAGAATATCACTTTCTAACCTGTAATTGGTCCCAAATGCTTCTTTACTCCAAAACCCAAAACAACATATAAAAATCCTATTTCGATTACTGTAATAATAAAAACTAGGGTTTCGACAACGTACTTTTCAATTCGACTGCAGCAACAAACAAACAAACTTCGCTTCAGAAACGCCTTCTGAAATACAACAACAATTACGCTTCGATTTCAAAAACTCGTATGTTCTATCTATTTTTCAGAGGATATTTAACTATTCCCTTTATATTTTCACCGGATATGTTATTTATATTTAATCGATACAACTACCAAAGTGTCGATACTTTTATGTCAGGTGTCGATACTTTCGATAGTATAATTACCTATTTCTTTGAAAATATCGATAATTTATTACTTGTACTTATTAAAATTTCGACACTTTCAATATATCCGGTAGCTCTTTACCGGTTTTGTCATTTCGAGACCGGTTTTGTCATATTTTTACCTGCTATATCGTTATGGATTGATGCATTATCATAAAGTATAGACACTTTATAGGCGCTAAAACTGCTTCTCTTTTAAATTCCTAAAGTGTCGATACTTATATTAAAGTATCGACACTTTCAATATATTCGGTAGCTCTTTACCAGTTTTGTCATTTCGAGACCGGTTTTGTCATATTTTTACCTGTTATATCGTTATGGATCGATACATTATCATAAAGTATCGACACTTTATAGGCACTAAAACTGCTTCTCTTTTAAATTCCCAAAGTGTCAATACTTATATTAAAGTATCGACACTTTCAATATATCCGGTAGCGCTTTACCGGTTTTATCTTTCCGAGACCAGTTTTGTCATATTTTTACCTGTTGTATCGTTATGGATCGATACATTTTTATAAAGTATCGACACTTTATAGGCGCTAAAATTACTTCTCTTTTAAATTATCAAAGTGTCGATACTTATATTAAAGTATCAACACTTTCAATATATCCGGTAGCTCTTTACCGATTTTGTCATTTCGAGACCGGTTTTGTCATATTTTTACATGTTATATCGTTATGGATTGATACATTTTTATAAAGTATCGACACTTTATAGGTGATATTACTGCTTCTCTTTTAAATTCACAAAGTGTCGATACTTATTTCAATCTAATCGATACTTTCAACATATTCGGTAGCGCTTTACCGGTTGTCATAATTAAACCGATTTTATCATATTTTTACTTGTTATATTGATATGGATCGATACAATTTTTATTTGGATCGACACAAACCGACAAGCTAAGTTTGTCGATTGCCAATTTTATAAATATTTCTTCATGATTTAGACCTACTACATTATTATTACTCAACATTTCCGATAGTGTTAAACCGAATTTATTAAATATCTTTTAATGTATCCGATAACGCCGTATCTTAACCGTATATTAATATGCCTTTCCTGAGAGAATCCCTATATCTATGTATGTAAAGTGGTTAAAAAGTTAGACTGATGTGATGAGTGTAAATTTCACTATCATATAATGATTATTACATTATAGAATGTACAACAACATATTTGTAAAATTATATTTTTATTTTAAAAAACTAACTCCATCAAATAAAAAATGAAGGAAAAAATGTTAGATTTAGGGTTTCAAAAGTAAAATACATTTTCTTCAATATTAACCGAAGTAATTATTCAAATAAATGAAAACCGGATTGAGATCAGCTCAATCAATTAATTGTGATTATGCCTTTTAGTAGTCTAATCATTACTTTTTTTACCGCAAAAGTTGTCACCTTTTTTTATTTTAGTTTTTTTTTGAATTTAAACTTATTATTATTATTATTATTATTATTATTGAATTAAGCAAGCAAATTTTAGAGATTTATTATTATCTTTTGAGATCTCAAGTTCCGACGTCACATGTATCAGGAGTATAAAAGTTTATTATCAAAATAGTTGAGAGTCTTTAAACATATATTACTTTGTATTCACCGTAGATTTATAAAAAAAACTTTTTTATTATTTGAATTTTAAGATAAAGTACACAAATGGTCCATTGACTATAAGGTATTACTTTGTTAAGTCATTCGATTATTAAAAATTTCAAAAATGGTCACCCGACTATTATATGTTCTGAACTCATCTTTTTCGTTAAACATTGATGACTTTCTGAATTAGACATTAATATACTAACTACGATATGATAAAATCTGATAATAAATCATTTGAGTTGTATTTTTTGAATTAAGTCTTCATTTATGTTATGTCATCGAGTTAGTAGAATCATTATGACATCGAGCCAATGCTTGAAAGCAATGACAATGCCTGTAAAGATCATTAAAATACGATTTTAGCATATCTCAATCATTAGATTAACGTCCAATTCAGGCTGCCATCAATTTTTTAACGGAAAGGACGAGCTTGGAACATATAAATAATCAGAGTGATCATTTTGTAACTTTTAATAGTGAGGGGACTCAACAAAGTAGCGACTTATTATTATGGACCATTTGCGTACTTGACCCTAAAATTTATTAATGATGAGATTTTTAAAAATATATTTCAAAAATTTTCATTTAAATACGTTTTTAAACATGTATTTTATAAAATTAATTATTTAAAATATAAAAGTTAAAAGAATAAAAAATAATTATAAGAAAATCAGTAAATAATAAATTTAATAAGATGATTAAAATATTATTTATACAAATATGACACAATAATATTAAATTATATTTAGAAAAGATTAATAATTCGTTGATTTTATGAATAAATTTTAAAAATATTTAAACATATTACTCATTGATTATTATTTTATTAAAGAAGTTGAATTATTCACTGAAAAAAAATAAAAGGAATTTTAGTTATATATTCTCACTTAATCTTAAATTTATATAAAACTAAAAGTATTATGTAAATAAATCTTAACCCCTCCTCTCTCTCTCTCTCTCTCTCTATCTAAAAAACGCGTATGTATGATTGAATTAAAAAAAAAAGGAATAATTTATATACAGTTACTCGGTCGAAATTGTTACGTACGGCTTTAGGCCTTTAAAGGGCAAGGGTGGGTCATCTCATCTTGTAAAAAGATAACTTTTCCAAATCCATACAACTTTTTCATCTCCTTCCTCCACCAGCCATGGCTGCTCTCACTGAATTCTTCTCCCACCTCTACACCATGACCGTCGTCTTCTTCACTCTCCTACTCCTCGAAATCGTAATCCTCGTCAGGTCCATCACCGGCGGCGGTTCCGATTCCGAGAAACGTCTCATCACCACCACCCAGTACCTCAAATTCATTGAAGAAAAGAACCCGACAATCATTCACTCCACAGGATCATCCATGGTGGATCAGTCATCGAGTCAGTGTGCCGTGTGTTTGTCGGAGCTGGAAGAGGGCGAGAAGGTGAGGAAATTGAAATGTAAACACACTTTCCACAAGGACTGCCTTGATCGGTGGCTCCAACAGTACTGGGCTACTTGCCCACTTTGTAGGACCAAAGTTTTACCCGACGAGATCGTTGCTAACTATCACAGGCTGCAAAATCAGGTAGAGTATGATGGAAGTGATGAGGATATGATTTTCTTGTTGTCTGCTCTTCATGATAATAGTTTACACAGATTGTTCTGAATTCTCCTTTCTTATTACACTTCTAGGATTTTTTACTTTTTCTTTTCTTTTCCTTTCAACTTATTTTGCCGACAGAAGCTCATTACTTGGTGGACTATTGTAACTTTTTCTCACCTTTATTTTTTTTCTCTTTGGTAAATTTTGATGTAGATTTTACTTCACCTATGTATGTAATTCCCTGTATTGCCTATCTTATGAAAATTAAACGTACATATGGCTTTAGTTGCCTCTCTGTACTGTGTTTTCTGGGTTAATTTCTGCCCCTCAACTAGAAGTTTGTCAAAGAGATCCAAAGAAACATTTGGTGATCTAATTTTATGAATCAGCTTCATGGTAATCACTGCTAAAACCCATAGATGTTTCTTCATTATCAATATAATCATCTACCAACATTTTTATCAGAAGATTGGTAGGTAAACAAGTGAGAGACAGTGGAGAGGTTTTTTATATTTTATATTTTATATTTTATATTTTGTCCCTTATAAGTATAAAGTTTTACGTCTATCTCTATATTTAGGAATGAACAGAAGAAGAGCGATCGGAGACAATTTTTTTTAAAAAATCTCAAATTATCATTTACTATTTTCGTCTATAAAATTTTGTACATTTATTTTTTCTAAAATTCTAAAAATTCGTCTACTTTAATATAAAATCTTGCTTATCCTTAGTGTATTCTCTTTTATTAGTTTGGAAGGTCTTAAAAGGGAAGGGTTAGATATAGGTATATGGAGAAAAATAGAGGAGTTGTTTTTATTCTTCCACTGTCTTAACAAGGGAATGGAGGTTCAGATGCAGGATTACCGACACTGATAGATAAACTGTGCTTAGGATTTAGACAAATTCAGTCATGTTTTTTCTTTCAAATCTGACATTGCTCCAATTTGATCTCCATTTGCTTCAATAAATTACCTGTGGGATTTTGTTCAGAATTTGTTGAGAAGCAGAGGGAATCACTGGTTTCTACCTAATATATGCCATGTTGCCAGCAGCATTTATGTTCATGTTTTTCTACCTTTGCTATTCTTCCATAAACATTGCTTGGATGTTGATAAAAACTTGTTTTCCCTTCCCAAAAAATATGCAACTATAGCATCCCTTACTGATTTTGGAGCATGAGATCATCAGTGGCCCTGAAACTAATTTGCATCATTCACGTGTATTTCTTTATCAAAAACATTATGTAAACATCATTCTTAACTTTTAATTTCAGCTGTAAAGGTTTTGAAGGATAAAATTTTATTTACTTACGAAAAAACACAAAATTTTATGTAAAGGATGTGAACTTAAAAAATTATATTAAAAATTTAAAGGACACAAAATTACAAAATTTTTGGATATGAAACAATAATAGAAAATACAATAAAAATATCTAAATTATATAAAAATTAAAATTTGTAAAAGTGCGATTGCATTCAATACCCGTTGATCCATCCTTGTATTTAGTATTTACTATTAGGTCAAACAACAAGTTTAATTTGATGATTTTATAATACTATATATTTTTTAGTAATACATAATTATTTTAATTTTTAAAAACGTGTATTTACAAATCTTGTTAAAAAAATTACATATATTTCAAATCTAGCTAGTAGTATTATAAATGAGATGAGACAGATTGTAAGTTATTCAAACTCAATTTGGTTAAAGTTCGATCAATATTCAAATCAAATAGGCTCGACTTGAGTTCTTAACGAGCCAAAGCAAGCTATTGATAAACGACTTGAAAATCTCTTGAGCAACTAAAAAAAAGTAACATATTATACTTTTATTTTTTAAAATTAAATTATTAATAATATTAACACTTATATGTTGTTGTTTTTAAGTTTGTGAACTTTCGAGTTGAATCGAGTTCAACTTTAAAATTTTTAATTCGAGTCGAGCTTAATTATACTCGAGTTTAATTTGAATTGTTTACTGTCTTAGTAATTAGCAATTATAACTTAGACATTCTTTAATTGTAGGTAAATTACACAAATGGCCCCCCGACTATAGGGTGATGCTTTGTTGAGTCCCTCGACTATCAAAAGTTACAAAATAGTCACATGAATATTCATATGTTACAAACTCGTCCTTTCCCGTTTAGTAATTGACGACCATCTGAGCTAGACGTTAATTTGTTGATTGAGATATGATAAAATCATATTTTAATGGTATATTGGCACCAACGTTGCTTTCAAGCACTGGCTCGACGACATAATGTAAACGGAGAGTATATCGACAAAATTCAACTCAAACAATTTTGGGATAAGATTTTATCATATGTCAGTCAACATGTTATTATCTAGCTCAGATAGTCGCCATTTTTTTAACGAAAAAGGGCAAATTTGGAACATATGAATAGTCGAGTGACTATTTTGTAACTTTCAATAGTAGGAGGACTCAATAAAACGATGATCTATAATTAGAGGACTATTTTATAACTTTTAATAGTCGAGGAACTCAACAAAGCAGCGGCCTATAGTCGGAGGACCATTTGTGTACTTTACTCTTAAATGTAATTAGCAATTATAACTTAGTCTTTAAATGTAATTAGCAATTATTGGTGTAATATTTGGAACAGATAGTGTATGGTATACAGAAATTACCTTTAAATTGAATATAAGGTGTGTAGTCATGTCGGGAGGGTAAGCTTATTTAATGCGAAGAAATAGTAGATGAAGAAATAATTTAAGCCACAATCACAAAAAGGAAATGCTTACTAAATCATGCATGTCACAGTCGCATTTCTACTCTTCACATATATTGGAATCACATTTTATGAGACTTTTCCTGAATTCCAATAATTTTAATAATTCATTTTTAGGTACTGTTTTTTTCACACGTTTTTGTGTGGGGGGGTTTTTGGACAAATTTTGCTTATCTCTCATTAATATGCATTGATTTGGTCATTAAAGTATCTCTTTCTTCTATTTTGATGTTTTTAATTTTTTTAGTTAATTGCATCACATGTTCTCAAAGTATGACCCTTGCTTTAAATTAGTTCCTACACTTTAAAGTTCTAGTGACATCCCTAAACTATGACTATCATTCTAAATTAGTCCTTAAACTTTTGAACATTTTAATTTTATCGCTAAACTATGACCTTCATTCTATATTGGTCCCCAAACTTTCTAATTTCACTCCAAACTATACATATATATTAATCACGTCTCTTGTTAATAAAATTGTTAGGCTAAGTTATATTACTGTATGTTTGAATAAACAAATTTTAGGTTAAATTATGGTTGAAACCAATTACATATTGGATGGATTTGGATATGAAGTTAGAATATTCAAAAGTTTAGGGACTAATTTAGAAAGAGGATCATAGTTTAGGGATGAAATTATAATGTTAAAAAGTTTATTGACTAATTTAAAATAAGTCATAATTTAGAGATATATGATGTAATTAATTCTATTTAATCTCATATCATAATTTTTTTTAAATTGACTTTTATGACTACTAATATCATTTAAAAAAACTAATATATTATATGTCTTAAAACAAGTCACGTCACACCTGCAATAAAAAGTAACATGATACTTAATATTCATATAGATTTAAATTAAAATATATATATGAAGACACTTAATTTCGTCCGATGTTATACTATATAGTATTATAAACTATATTATATAATTCTTCATTCATATTATATTTACATTCATTTACATTTGCTTTTCTATTTTCAGGCCCGATAATAAGATCACGACCCAGCAGCACAAAGACCAACTGCACGTGACCCAGTCCAGGATTCAGGATCTGCTGAAGGCTAGGGTTTCCAGCAAGCCTCCCCCTCTGCGCTGTAAGTCACTCCCAAGCTCGTACGCCTCTCCCCCGTGCTTCTCGGCAACAAGCTACGATCGTGGACGTGTGGGACTCCAACCAACACGCTTCAACCCACCGAACCATCTGGCGCGAGAATCTCGGCCATCATCAACACACCAACGTTAGTATTTTACTATGATGTAAATACCCAAAAATAAGGGGTACACGAACACTATAAATACAGTGTAATCCCTACTGTAACAGACGGGGGATATGAAATAGAAGCAGAGATTACGAATTAAAACCAGAGCATTTTTTTCGACGTTTGCGAAAACCACAGAAGGTAAACTTCATACCTTTTACTTTTTTATGCTTGCGTGCTTGTGATGGCTGCGTTTTTTGACTCGAAACCACTCGTAGGAGTGTTTGGCCGAGGACAAAGGGGGAGCTTTTCGAACTTTCGTTCTTAGATTCACGCTCCCCCAAGGCTAATTTTTTTAAACCAATACGTTTTTGGAGAAGTGGGGCTCGAGATCTACCGAAAAAAAACAAAACTTTTTAAAATTTCACCGCCGAGGAACGGCGGCCGGCGAGGCGGCACAGTGCCGGAATCTGAAAAACCAGGCGCCGTTCTTCATTTGGAAGAACAAGTTGAGAGCATTTTCTGGAATGGGGGGCTCTCTTGTGTGAAGAAGAGAGAAATGAAGATTTAAAAAAAATTGACATTTATACGCGACCCGCGCGTCGACCCTGACCCGGGAAGGATCCGCTCGTTTTTGTGCATTTAAGGGTAAATTGAATTTTGGTCCCTCTGATTTTAAAACGATTCTATTTTACCCCGAAATCAATTTTTAATCTTTGCTTTTCTTCGAAATTTATCCCTTAATTTTTACTCTGTTCTAATTTGATCTCCACTATTATCATTATTATATTTTCATTATTATTATAATTTTATATTTTATTCCCTTATATATATATATATATATTATATACGTCATTTTTTTATTATTATATATATATAGCTATTATTATTTCTATTATTATTATTATTATTTTTAACTTCATACCTTTCTTTTATTTATTTATTTAATATATGTTTTTATTTTTATTTCTTGTTTTTAAATAATTTTCATTTCTTTGTTTTATGTTTGCTTTCTTTCTTTTATTACTATTCACGCATTTATATATATATATATATATATTTATTTATTTATTTAATATATGTTTTATTTTTTATTTTTTTCCCTTTATTTTTTTCCCTTTATTTATCCTATTTATCATTAGTTTATTTTTATTGTCTCTTCTTATTTGCATCAGTGGTTTTGTAGTTGTTTTCATCTTATTTATTTTCATCATTCCAAACCTAACGTTTTCTTCTTAAGGGCCTTCATTCAAATTTATCAGAGGTAAGTAATTGTGGATCGACATTTTACCTTTTTATTTAAAGTTACAACTTTCTTAATTAAAGACAACTGGAAATTACATAGTACCGAAAGGGCAATTCAAAG